TGTGTTGTGGGAAATTGGAAGCGAATAACATGGATGCAGATGCTTATGTTATAGGTGATCAAGTTCCGGAAAAAAAGCGAATAACATGGATGCAGATGCGATTTTCTTTTAATTTTTTGAATAAAACACAATTAAAATAAAAATAAAAACTAATTTTTTTAACTGGATTGGACTCGGTAAGAACATAATTGGAATTACGATCAAATTTCACAAATGCTATATCATCATGCGATATCTTTTTAATTTAGATAGTGTTATTAAATAATATTAAATACTAGTTTTTCTAGTAAAACTCAATTTTTTTAAAAAAATTACAATTTCATTACGTACAAAATTCATTTGACAAGAACTACAGTTTTCATGATTTTTTGAGCATGCAATAAAATTAGGCAAAATATTATGAGAAATAAAATTGAGATTACAGTACGAGTAAATTTAATTCACCTTAAACTAATTTTTTTAAAAAAATTACTGTTGACATTCACGTGAATAGTACGAGTGAAATAAATTAACTTCAATGGTTTTTCAAAAATAAAAAAAACTAAACTTTTCACGTAAACAGTGCGAATGAATTAATTCACTCACACTGGTTTTTTGAAATTTTAAAAAAACTGTTCACTTTAGTGAACAGTGCAACAACGGAGCATGGCTTAACTGTTCACTGAACAGTAGAGCCATGCTCCACTGTTGTGGTTCCTCCCCCACGAGAAGCAGCAAATGTTACTTCTCCAAACCTGTGACACAATCTTTGTTTTTAGTGGATCTTACCAACATAAAGCATTTTGTTCTTCTTAACCAAATGGTATTATGTGTAGTTGCGGGTGAACCTCACCTGCAACCACGTTACCAAATAGGCACTGAATCATAATTATTTTAAAGCCTAGATTTAAGATCACCTTTATTTCCTATTCCTAATATTCCGGGTAATAAACTAGTTATTATAGGATTTTGGATATTTTGAACAAATCTTAATGGATAATTATTAACTGGTTATGATATCAATTTTTGCATTATTAAAAGGTGATAGAAATGTGATTTTTATCTTTTTTTTTAGAAAAATATGCATGAAAAACCTTTAGGATTTGGTTGTATGTACAAAAACAGAACATTTTTTTCTTAAAAAAGTTCATTTTTGAAATTTTGGATTTTTTATGGAAAAATCAAATATTTTGATACTAGATTCGTATCTTACAATGTAAGTCCACGACCTGATATTAGATAAAATTGTTAGAAAAATATATGACGAACCCACAAATAATTTTAAAATGGTCTTTTGAAAGATTATTTTTTAAGTATTATTATATTATTATTTTTTTCAAATAAATGGGTTGCTTGGGCCTAAAGCCCAAGCACGACTTATTCGAATTGAGTTTGGCTTACCAACAACCCAACAATCTTCTCTCCTTTTGAATTTGGATTGGAAACGACCCAATCATCCGGGCTAGGCTAAAATGAATCTAGCCCAGCTCATATGATCATTGGCCTTGCCAAGTGACCATGTTAATTAATTGCATTGCATGCAAAACGAATTCCTGTTTTCCATGCAGTGGCCATGAAGGGTTTATAGTTGGGGAAGAGGGAAAAGAAAAGGGTTACTAGGATCAGGGGAGGGATGTTGCCGCCGTTACTAGTTTGTTGGCATGGTTAAGGTGGCGACGGAGTTACTATTGACATTGATGCTGAAGATTATCGCGTAGGGGGGAAGAAGAAGTTAACGATGGTTATTCTTATTGTCGGCGATAAGGTAAGGTTGCAAAGGTGTTAGGCTATTGTTGGTTATAGTGTTGGTGAGGTTGTGGTGACTAAGGTTGTGGTATAGAGAGGGAAGAGCAATAATGGTTGAAAAAAAAACTAGGAAGGGGCTAATTTTTTATCCACTTTGCACTAATATTTCTTGCTCATCAATGCCCGAAATGGCTTCTTGTCTTTATCAGGTACCAATCTTGGCCCTCGAACAATTCAGGCGAGAAGGATCCTAACTGCGGGCTTAAAGTTGTCTTCATAATCTTCAAAAATTAGGCTGTTAAAGGCTGATTGGTTTAGCCTTTCTATGACGGAGCCACGATGAGTGTAAGGGCAATCAGCCGACACAAATTATGGTGTAGTACAATGTAAGGCTATCATAATGGTGTATGGTTTCTTCGACTTTATGGAGAAACAAAGCATTAAATACTCTGAAAATATAGCTACTTGAGTAGCCTTACAGATACAAAGGTAGAAGATGATGAATAGTAACTAGACGTCAAGTCATCTTGCTTTCTCTTTTTTGTTGTTATTGTTGTTTTTTTTTTCTTTTGCTAGTCAAAATGCACCATTTCATTTAAATAAAATGATGTCGTTTTAATTTCTTAAAGTTTTAATTAAGTTTTTGTCTAAAGTTTAATTTAGTCCTTTGTTTTTTTATTTCTTTTAATTACATCCCTACTTGACTTCAAACTTTTAATTTTATGCAATTTTATCCTTGTGAAACTCCAATATCAACCTCAAATTCTAGCATCTTTTTTATTTTGATCCTTGGTTTGGGATTTATACAAACTAACCCTTAATTGACTTTTAAATTTCTTTCTTTAATTTCACCCCTATTTTCAAACGAATTAAGTCCCCAAAGTTTAACACCTTTTTCAAAAAGGTTCTTAGTTGTAAATTTCTTTAACTTAACCCTTTATTAACCTTAAACTTTAATTTTCTTGCATTTTTAGCCTTGAATTCAATTAATTGACTTTTTAAAAATTAAGTTTGGTCCTCTAAAATTTCATTCTTCTCAATTAAGCTTAAATTGGGCTTCCAAACTTATTTTTTCACAATTAAGTCCCTAATAAAATTAATTTAACACTTTAAAAATATAATTAAGTCCTTATACCTGATTAAATCTTTTAATTTGACCCAAATTGATTCTTAAACATAATTAAACTTTTAATTTGGCCCATGACTTGAATTGTAATAATATATATTGAATGTATGAACTTAAATTTTATTTTCATGTATTTATAATCTACATGTATGTGTGTTTACTTATTTAGTGTCATTTAATACTTCCTTTCTATTATATTAATGTTTGAGAGATTGCGATTGCATTAATGTTGATTGTTGGAATTGAGACCTAGGATGATTGGTTCGTGATTGAATAATGGTTAATAGAAGTGTAAAAGGTTGTTGTCGATAACTTGGGACCTCTCGGTATGAGGGAGACTACCAAAATTTTGGTGGACCCTTGCATGAATTTGATTTATATAAAAAAGATTACCATGTTTTTTCCTAAATTACGATTGGTGTGTTGTTCCGGTAATTGGGATGTTACAATTATGGGGGAGACTCTACCGAATATTGGTGTGATTTTAAAAATATATTATAGGATGGTTTGCACATGATAGGGAACTAGGATTGATTCATTCCCTATATGGGGAAGAAAGTATAGTTCACAGTATGGTAGGGATTTATTGATGGATACTGCCTCCCACTTACCTACAATATCAGTTCGCTCCAAGATGGGAGAATCAACAGGGTGACAAGATGACTCTGTATTTTTTCGAGTAGAGGTATCATTGCCTGAGGTATCAGATAGGTAGAGATAAGATGACATGCTTCCACTGACAATTATGCCTAATCCATATTCAGACCCTGCTTTTATGGAGTAGCTAGTCAAGTTTGTAGTAGTAAGGATGGTAGCGGAAGCATCCAATACCGCTCCTAGATCAGAGAGGGTGCTCACTTTAATATAGTGGATAAAAGGTATGCGAGAGATAAGGTGTATGACCTACTCAGAAGGATGCTGAAATCGCTAAGCATTGGTTAAGAAAAGTGGAAAGAGTCATAGATTAGATGTAGGTGCTAGAAGAGTTACGAGTAGATTATGTGACTTAATTGTTGACTAAGAGTGCCCACTCTTGATGGGAGACTATTAGAGAGAGGAGATCACGAGAGCTACTGAGGTGGAGGGACTTTCAAGTGGAATTTGAGGAAAGATATTATTCTTGATAGCATAAAAAGAGAAAAAACATGAGTTTCTGGATCTAAAATAGGGGGATATGACGGTTCTGATTTGGCTTTCCATAATAATCATGGATTTGAATAGTGAAATGACTATTTTGTTTTTTTTTCAAAATCAATATGATTTTTTTGCAATGGTCCATTAGTCATTGTCGTATTGACAGGAGATAAATTGATATTTTTTTTATATTTTTAAAGCATAGTGAAATGATAATATTACTTTTAAATTAAAAGAAAAAAAGAATTATACACATCTAATGGCTTTTTCATATTTTCACTTTTTAAAGCACAATTAAACCAAACACAAACCCTAACCTCATTCTATTTGATAAGATTAAACAAATGGTAGTGGTTGATCTATGTAAGTTTCAAGTTAACGAGTTTTTATTTAAATGATGTGTTAGAAAATAATATAAATTATATATTAAAATCTTATCTAAAAATTTAAATTTTTGAATTGAGATGGTTTATTGAGAATCTAATAACACTGAATATGCTTTTCATCTCAATTTTATAAATTAGTTTAAAATACCATAATCTAATAAATAAATATCTCAATTCTTTTTTTTAATAATAAATAGTTCTAATTTGTCAGTTGGATCTGTCTTAACAACACTTTATAAATAGTCTTGTGGGGATAATTATGGAGTTATACAAAATAATTAGCTAAATAAAAAAGCTTATAACTTTTTATTTGACTGTTAAATATATTTAAATTTGGTAAAAAGATCTCAAAATAAATTATATATCTATAACTAGCAAATGTTCGACAAAACTTCAAATGTGGTTTAAAATGTGTTGTTTGAGCAAGTTTTGTTATTTTTCATTTTTATTTTTACATTTGGGTTAAGTTTAAGTTTTAAGTTTATTTAAAGAGTTTTAATCCTCAAAACAGTTACTTTAAAACATAGTATTCAATAATGAAGTTTTGCATTAGATTTTTTGTTTTTTTCCCGTGTTGTTACTTGTGTCCACCCATTTATAAGAAGGTCTTTGTTTGTTTATTTCAAAGCACCCTTCCCTAGCTACTCCTTCCTCCCCCTCCTTCCTTCCTTATTTCTGTTTCCTCTTCTCGTTGCATGTTTCTTGTCAATGGCAAGTGGACTCAAGGCATGGAGGATATTGCTGTCTATTGTGGTGGGGGTATCAAACTGGCAACAGTGGGCTTGTGGATCATTACCTCAAGTTCCTTGTCTCTTCATCCTTGGAGACTCAGTGTTTGATAATGGGAACAATCTGGACCTTGAAACAGATGTGACAGTTGATTATCTACCTTACGGTGTAGACTTTCCATATGGGTCTACAGGAAGGTGTAGCAATGGCGTCAACGTAGCGGACGCGATTGGTCTGCAGCGACCTCTCTTCTCTTATAAACATAAAATTTTTGTACGATGTTTTTCTCGTTAGCTAGGAATTAAGCTACTTTTTAAGGGAAAAAATCGGATTAAATTAAAGATCTGGTTTCAGTTTGCTTTTTACTATCTGCTGCTCAATGTTTCATCCCTTTTTTTCTTCAAAAAAAAATGTATAAATTATTTAATGGGCTGATTCAATTTTAAAACTCTTTGTGCGACGTTCCAAACTTTGTGCTATGAATAAACAAGTATATATTTTTTCAGTCATTGAACTAATTTAGTACAATTTTTGTTTCAGCTGACCTATTGGGCTTTGAAAATTACATTCCACCCTTCGGTAAGGGAAATTGCAGGGAGTTTATGAATGGTGTAAATTATGCATCTGGTGGAAGTGGCATTCTGAATATGACTGGATATCTTTTGGTGATTGCCAACACTTTTATGCCTCTTAATTACCAATGCATTAAAATCTTTCGTTGTGTGTGTGTGTCTCTATATATATATATATATATATATATATTAAATCTAACATTTTCTAAAATTTATGACGTAATCCTTTGATGTGTAATCTTCTTGATGGCCATCTGATCTGTTTTTCTTTTTTCTTTTTTAAAAATTATGTTTTGTAATGCGCTATATATCTGCATTTGAAAGTATTCTTAAAATTTACTTGAGCAATTAATGTTTTTTTTATGTTTTTAAATGAAATTAATATAAAAATATATAAAAAAATATATCAAATTGTATTGCTTTGATATTTTTTTAATCCATCATTTTTTTTAAAAAAAAAACAAACATACGCACCGCATTTCCCAATATAATAAAGCGAACCAACTTCTTTTATTATTAAAGATAATAAATATATACTACTTAACTAATTAATTCAGTAAGAATATTTATCTCTTAATGTGCAGCACTAACAATACGATTATTTTGTATGGAAAGGGACAACGATACACCATGGATCTTCAGTTATTTAACCACAAGATTATAGCATCACGGATTGCCAAAGAACTGGGGGGTGCAGATGTTGCAAAGAAGTACCTTGGCCAATGCATATATGCTGTCGAAACGGGTTACAATGACTATCTCAACAACTATTATGGCGAAGGCTACAATAGCAGCAAGATCTACACTCCTGAACAATTTGCACAGCTTCTTATTCAAACTTATGAAATTCAACTAGAGGTATGTTATATATATATATATAAGTAATAATTGAGTAGTTTTATTAATAAAACCAGAGTACCATTTAGCTAATGTTAATCTAGCAAAAAAGAACACAAATGAGTACCATCAACTAGAGGTTAGTTCCATGAAAAATCATTCCAAATTAATTGTGACCATAAACTAACTAATAGCGCCTCTTCCCTTTTTGTTCTTGCCAATACCAGAGATTGTACAACGAAGGAGCAAGAAAGGTAGCCGTGTTTGGACTTATTCGGATGGGCTGTATGCCAGCATACAAACAAATATATGGCGCTAATGAATCTTCATGTGTAGACAAACTCAACCATGCTGCTCAACTTTTCAACAACGAGCTTCAGAAAGCTCTCCCGAGGCTTAATGCCAACCTTCCCGGCGCCAAATTTACTTACATAAACTCTTACGAAATTGATTCTGAAAATTATACAGATTTAGGTAGTATTTAACTTTTGTTTTGGGGTTAACGGTTGATCATCAAGACAGACATCAGCATGGCCTACGAATTTTACTTTGGCTTGCTTTGCAGGTTTCAAATTTACCAATAAGAGCTGTTGTGACGTTCCTACTGATCAAATACCATGTGCGGCTCTTACTTATCCATGCCTCAACAGGGATGAGCATGTGTACTGGGACGGAGCCCACTATACTGAAGCTAGAGCTAGGATCTTTGCGAAAAGGGCATATAAACGTCAATTTCCTGGTGATGCGTATCCAGCGGTTATCAGCGAATTGGCTAAGGTCCCGAATGATGAGGCCGATCGTTGCAGTACGTGTGGCAGTAAAATATTATGATCAAGACTGGTGGTTGGATTTGGGTCGCACTACCAGGGCCTCCGTATTTTTATTTATCTATCATTCAAATGGTTTGTTTTTTTCCGTAGAAGTCTGGTTGACAATAGCTGTCAACGATTATTGACAATGCTTCTGTCACCTAAGATATCAGCATTATATTCTAATATTACAGAAAAACCCTAGCTACTGAATAAAACATCCAATTCATATAATTTTTTTTATTCTTTTTTAAATTAAATAATTCTAATAATAAAAAAATAATATAAATTATTTATTAAAATCTCACCTGACAACTTAAATTTTTAAGTAAAATGGTTCTTTGAAATGATACATAGTAAAGTCATGTATTAGAAAATAATATAAATCATATCATAAAACCTCACCTAATAGTTTTTGATATGATATTAGAGTTTTGATAATCAAACGATTACGAGTTCAAATCTCATCATCCTTTCATTTTCTCTTTTAATTATAATCTAATTAAGAACACAAAGTAATGTGGATCTATGCAAGTTTCAAACTTAAATTACTTTTATTTTAGAGAATATGTTAGAAAATAATATAAATTATATTGTGAGGCATCACCTAACAACTTAAACTTATGTGTGAGATGGTTCTTTAGCAAATTAATTTTAGTAGGGCTTAATTAGTAAAAAATTAAGTTTGGGAGTCCAATTTGAGCTTAATTGAGAAGATTAGAATTTTAAGATATCAAATTAATTTTTATCAAGTTAATTAATTGAAATCAGGAGCAAAATTGTAAGAAAAATTAAGTTTTGGGGTTAATTAAGGGTTAAATTGATAATTTTCACAGTCAATGACTATTTTGCAAAAGGTATCAAACTATAGGTGCTTAATTGATTGAAACTAGGGGAGAAACTAAAGAAATCAAAACTTAATAGTCAATTAGGGGCTAAATTGAAGAAATCCAAGATGAAGTAGCAAAACAGAAAAGACACCAAAATTTGAGGTTAAATTTGAAGTTTTCTAAAGGGCTAAACTACATTAAATCAAAAGTTTAGAGTCAATTAGGGGTGTTATAAAAACAAATTGAAAGGTGAAGGACTAAATTAAACCTTAAAAAAATAATTAGATGACGCATCCTCTAGTTCATTGTCTTTTTTTTTTTTTTTTTAAATGACATTTCAAGAGGCTATTTTGAAAGTGTATTTAATGCTTCATTTCTTCATCAAATTTAACCAAACTTACACGTAAATGATCACTTGACATTTCTTTACAACCTATAAGGTTTGTTCATGCCAATTTTGGCCTAATCTTACTAGGCTTGACCTAGTTAGTTAAGTCAACCCAATCTATATATATTTAATATATATTTATTTGTAATATATTATATTATTATTAAAAAAATGAAAAACAAATTTCAAAAATGCTTTAATTTTTTTTTATGATTTTCTCGCATGTTTTTCTACTAATTTTGTTTAATATTAGGTTGTATTTTTATACTGTAATAAATCCAATATTAAAATACCTTTTCTCCAAGACATTTCTAAAAAAAATAAAAAAATCTCAAAACTTTTAAATTAATTTCTCTTTCCAAAAGATAAAAAAAAATATTTTGTTACACATGGTTAAATCTTAAAAACTTTCCGAGCATATTTTCATAAAAAGACAAAAAAAATTGCATCTTTCTCTTTTTTTAAAAAAAAAAATAGATATCATAACCAATTTATAATTATCTATTAGGATTTGACCAAAATATTAAAAGCCCTTTACCAATTTGTTTTTGGATTTAAACATAGATTTTAATATTTATGGGTGTAAAATTACATAATAGAGTATACCTTCAGATATTAAAGATATAAAGTGTAAAATAAATACGATGTTAAAGTTTGAACCTTAAAATGATTAGGATTAAACTCAATGAGGTAGAAACTTTCTTACAAAGGTTGATCTGCCTTTAACCTACAAAAGGCCAACGAATATAAACCTGATATAGAATAATAATAAAACAATATTAATGCAGGTTGTTTTAGATAGGGTACACTGCGAGTGATGTGTCTTCTCCTTACACAATTAATCTCTTATCTAGATTCTCACAAACCATAGGTTTTCAGTGACCATATATAACGACTCCTAAACCTTAGTTATAATTTTATAATTAAATACAAAAACTCTTTCCAATAACACACATCTCCCTCAAAAGGTATAAAAACGTCACCAATGCCCTAAAAACATCATGCTCCCGCGACAATAAGCACCATCAACCTTTTCAACTCTAATATTTATCATCCCATTGTCATTTTTTATTTGGTTTTCTAGGCATTTAATATTTTTACTTTTAAAGTGTAATTGCGGTTGTTTTTCAAAGTATTTTTTACTTATAAATGTACCAAAATAATATTTTTATTTATTTTTTAAAAATCATTTTTGAAATCAGCGTATCTAAATAATCTAAAAAAACTAAAAAATATTAATTTAAAATAAAAAATAAATTTAATTTAATTGTTTTAAATTATTTTTAAAATATAAAAACAAACAAGGTTAATTAAGCTCGATGGAGCTGCCATCCCAGCCACACAATCGGTTTAGCCCATAGGCGTCAACCCACAGAAAAAGCGTTTAATATATATCGTTGCCACATCAGGTAAAGGAAATTGGGTATCAGAGTTTTGGTTTTTAAACCTTACATTTTATCTGTGTTCTCATTTGCTAGGAGAGATTTCCGCATGGAAGTTTACATATATATAGTGTCAAAGCCCGATACACACACACACTGCAAATCCTGCAATATTACAATGACAATGTCATATTTAGAACCGTCACAACCACATCAAGGTATAAAATTTATTTTCGGCCTTGATTAAAGATCAGAGAAGAGAAAAAAGAGTTTCAGAAACGTCATTCATCTGATGTCATCTGTTGCGTTGATGCAGCCATCATTCCTTGCTAACAGTGTCACCCATATACTTTTTCTTTATTAAAAACACATCCATCAAAGGAAAGGTTGCCCCTCTAAAGATCTCAGGCAAGAGTGGAGCTCTCGATGGAATTATTTCTCGAATCCAAAAACCAGCTTTTGTTTGCCAGTTTGCCATCAGCTTAATGGCTCTGGCAATTCTTAATAAATAGCTGTAAACGCTAACTTTAAAATTTTATGAATAGACTAAAATGCTCATGTATATTATAACAGCTATTAATGCGCGATATCTATTTTTTTTTAGAGAAGGCCACGACGATTTATTGATTTCAGTTGGTGTTAGTTCAGTGATGATTGTGGAGGTGATCGGTCACAACGGCTATGAGGTTGGGCAGCGATATTGCAACCGTTAGATTTGAGGGTTGTGATGGTGAGGGAAGAGAAATATGTAGAGAGAGGCAGATCCAAAACAGAGAAGAAGAGAAAGAGAAGCAAATCTGTAAAGAAAAGAAAAACTAAAATCAACTGCCATTCGTTGCCTCACCGCTAACAGGGTAGAGAAGAAAAAGGCAGGCCAAACTCCCCTATTTACCTTGTTATCCAGCAGCAACACGTGGATCCATGCACCGCCAGTGGTGGTGGTGCATGAGGTCCACCTGCTGCGTGGTGGTGGTGCATGAGGTCCACCTGCTGCCACTGCTTCAACGTACCAGAAGTCAGCCTAACACTGTTTTGAATTATTTTATAATTTTTAAATTATTTAAAATAATATTTGTTTAGTTTAAGTTTTTATAATTTGTATTTTATAAATGTGGATGAAAAAAATACATATATAGTAAAAATAAATGTGTGTGCTTTGATTTTTTTATTTATTAATTTTTGGATGTTTTTTTTTTACTTGATAAAATTGCGTTGTAAAGACAAAAGAAGAATTTAATATTTTAATTTGCTCACGATAAAGAATTATAAATTTTAAATTTATACATAAGTTGTAGTTATAATATTCAATGAAAAAATAAAATTTTTAAATTTTTTTTAACATATCAAAGTTATAAAGCAGCTTTTTTCAGATAGAGTGTGCTAATATCTTTTTTAGCCACAAACAGTTTCTTACCCATAAATTTTTGATAACATTTGAATTTTTTAGTAGTTTTTAATTAAATATTAGATGACAACTTCAACAAACCAATTAAAATATAAACAAATAAAAAATCACTCGACGCCACGTGGGTGACGTTTGACAGTTTGTATAATTTTAAGGCTAATCAGATGGTTCAGTTACCAACAGTAGAATCTAGTAATGGACCATGAAGATAATCCAAATGGTCCTCTACCTCGCATATTGGATCCACGATAGTGCACAGAATTACAACCACGGTTATTGCTTTGTGTAGCTTTGGGTGCGTACATGGCAATGGGACTTGCCTTAAGAGATGGTGTTTGTTGCGCCTTGAACCTCATATCTATATTAAGCAATAAAATGACAAGATCATTATAGGATATAAAAGTGTCACGGGCTTGTACAGAGCTGATTGTAACTTTATATGCCAGGTCAACATTGCTCAGGATTATGTTGACAAGTTCATCATCATCAACTGGTTTTCCTGCTAAGGCAAGATTATCAACAATCTAATTTATCGTGTCCATAAAATCTAAGATAGAAAGACCTTCCCCTTTTAAAGTGAGTAAGTCCTGTCGGAGCTGCAAAATTTTATTTTTCGACTGAGAAGCATATCTCTTCTCGAGGGCCATGTAGCTTGTGACGATGTGAATCAAACCACTATAAACAATACAATTGGAGAAAGAGAGTTGTTGATCCAATTAAGGATCATCTGGTCTTGTTGATGCCAAGTAGCGTACCTATGATCCACTTCAGTTGTTACGGTATCGTTAGAATTATGTTTGAATTCTAGTGGGTAAGAATTTGTACCTTTGACAAATCCCATCAAATTCTTGCTTTTTAGAATCAGAACAATTTAAGCAAGCCATAGTGGATAGTTGGTTCTATTAAGTTTGATAGACATGAACCCGGAATGGCTGGGAACTACAACACCAGCAGAGGAATCAATGGCTTTTATGAGAGAAGAAAAAAAAATGTGTGTATAGTTGTTACATGTATGGCTTTAATACCATGAAGAAGAATATAGATGGCAAGTATATTGGCTTTAAGACTACACCATTACGGTGATTCTAGTGAAGTATATATATTGACTAAATTATAGGTGTTGTTACCCAATTTTTTACTCATGTTTTAATAAATTTTTAAAAATAAATAAATAATTATTTACATGTAATGATAACATAAAGTATCATGGCTAATATTAAGGAAACAATATATCTAAGGAAATGGTTACTAAATCATATATAATTACTGAAATATAAAATACTATATATATATGATTTGATTCGTATTCGTTATGAAAAATAATTATTGTAATATAAAATACCGTATATATAAGATTTGTTGGTGTTGGTTATAGTAGATAATCTCTACAATAATTATTGTGATATTTTCTTAAGTAGCACATGTAGAGATTTTCTATATAAGTGAACCTCTGTAAGAGGTGGAGAAAAATATTAAAAATATTCACAAGGGAAGTAATTTTTTTTAAAAAAGGAGCCAAACATAAAAAACCCTAAAGATAAAAAAAATATACTCTTTTTTCTTCCTGAGCCACCAGACACCAACCTCCCTTCTCCCTTTCCTAGCCAACAAAGGCAACCACTCATTCTCTCTTTTTCTTTCGCAGAGGCCCTTTTCGTCCCCCATCTCTCCTTCAAAATGTAGCAGCTCTCCTCTCTGTTAGTCCCCATCTCCATTTTTTCCTTGCAAAACCAAAGAACCCTATTAAAGCCACAATCTTTTCTCCCCAAACCATGACCATCATCTCCTCCCAAACTAGCCTCCCTCTCACCGAGAAGCCTAGTAAGCACCAACCCTCACTCCCCTTTCTTATAGAGAGCATGTTAACTATAGTAGTAGCAACCAGCTCTTCTAAGTAGAGATAAAATAGATGCAAGTTTGAGGAAGAATGAACAAAAAATACAAAGAGAGAAAAAGAGGAAGCATGGGAAAGAAAACCATAGAAACAAATGAATATAGAATAGCACAACAGGGACGAGTAGAAGGAAAGAACATAAACAAAAAAAAGCACAGAGGGACCAACCAGCACACCCTCGTCATTGCCTTCGTCCCTTCACTTCTGTCTTTAATTTTCTTATCCTCCAGCAGTGCAATGTTTTCTTTCATAGGTATTAACCGAAGCAACATCTCATAAGAAAACAGAGAAGGAGCAAGAAAACATAAAGGGAAGAACATCCATTTTACTAGCACATCACACCTTTATTATCGTCTTCGTCGTCTCTAAAAAAAAACATCGGCAAAAAGAGAAAGACAGAGACCAACACCAATTACTAGCGTTCGTCATTGTCTTCTGAATTAGTGATACCAGTGTTCGTCATTGTCTTTTAAATCAGTGATGACTGGTTGTGCGATACCAATTACCAGATTTCATCATTGTCTTCAGAATCAGTGATGACTGATTAGGTGTAAGAAAATGCAGCATCATCATCTTCGCTCGTCAGCTATCAGGTAAGTGCCCTACACTCTTATCACTTTTGCAAATTTAATTTCCTAGCCACCATAACATGCATATGCATACTACAGTGGCGGAACTGGTATCTGGTTTGGGCCAATAACCGAGTTGGGTTTGAAGAGCCATACATGTTGTTTTTTTTTTCTGGATTGTTCATTTTCTTGCAAACTTTAAGAATATATGCATAAGGTTTGTTGTCTTTAATTGCAATTAGTTGTTGATGCTTGTGTTTTTTGATAAAAAAATATAAAAAAATATTTTTTTTATTGCATATGGCCAATATTCTAACATATTTTGAACTTTTTTTATAAAAAAAATAAATTTTTAAAGTTTTGAAAAATGTATTTTTATACGAATTTCTTAAACATAATAAAAAAATTATTTTCTTGCATTTTTGGATTTTACAACATGTTTGTAAAACTTTAAAGGGTATTGGCCAATATTCCAAAAAATACAAAAATTTTATTTTGGGAGAATTCATTTATTATTCACCGCTAATGTTTGGATAAAGAAATTCCAAAAGGATGAATATCCAAAATATTATTAGAAATAACTTGTTATTATTCACCGTTAATGTTTGAATAAAGAAATCCTAAAGGGATGAATATCCAAAATATTGTTAGGAATAACTTGTTATTATTCGTTGTTAATGTTTGGATAAAGAAAATCTAAGTGGTAAATATCCAAAATAATATTCTTGGAATAATAAGTCATCATCATACATCCTTGAAAGAAGCCTCGATTAGAATCAATGATATTTTAATTTTTTACTTCACAGTTTATGAGCCATGAGTATGAAACACTAAAGCAAAAATAGACTTTTAAAGCGCTTTGAATGTTTCCAGATTTCTGAATCTTTGTCCCTCCTTCTTGTGATTTACGAGTGACATCTTGAAATCTTAAGGGAAAAATGAGCTTTTAAAGCACACATGATCTCTTTGGATTTCTACCTATCTCATGAATCATAGGTTATAAATTTAGTTTGAATCAAACGCAGATTTCAAGAGATCTGCATTAGTTCTCTTTGGTACTTTATAGACATATCTAAGGGTATGATCTACAGACCAAAAGTTCTTTCTTTTAAGACCTTGAGTCCAAGTTTGTTCATCATAGTAAACTTATCTTAAAAAAACTGATGGGATTAGAAAACACGAATACCATAGCAATTATAAAACAAACTAAATATCAAGTAGTTTACCTTATATAAGGCATATTAGAGGTGCTAATGCTTTCTCTTTACACAACTAGTTTCTTGATTTAAAATTTTTGGAAGACTAAATATATTTTCTAATAACTATAATATTAGATAGCGACTTCAAAAAACTAATCAAAGTAAAAACAAATAAAAAATCATCAATAGATACCACGTGAAGAACATGCCACAGTAGGGATTGATAATTATAATAAAAATATATTTGGTTACAGTAAAGTAATTTACAATGATTATAATTATAATTATAATTAAAAGAGAATCATGGTGGGATACATATCTAGAATAGCAGGAGTTCTATTCTAGGTAAAGATTATATCTGATTGGGAGTCGTGTTTGAATTTGATTTGAATTTTGATTTTACATGGTTATCAACCCTGAGTCATCCTGCGTATTACGTCTTTTTCACTCAAAAAGGAAAGGCAATGGTTCTTTCTTTCTTTTTTGATTAACAAAAGGTCCTTCCTGATTCCTGAGCCATGTTCATGCTCTAGAACTTAATTCATATGCTGGTGGACCCTTGTCCCATGGAATTAACTATGCCATTTAGAATCCCTAAACTAAATCTCGTGGAATTATATTAAATATTTGATGATATATTATTTGCTTTTCTAAAAAAACAATCCTTGTTAACCAACCATACATTCTAATCAAATCCAATTCTCTTTAATATGTTCTTTAAAAAATGTGATTCTTGCGAATTATTCTCCCAACTAATGAAAAGATTTTGATGGAATTACCACGTGTAAAAGTGAGCATATTTTTGCAAGGAAATTGGCCACTTCTTTCTTAAGATAAACGTCAATTTCCTGTTGATGCATGTCCATATCATATCAGTGAATTAGCTAAGGTCTCAAATGATGAAGCCGGTGGTTGGAGCACGTGTGACAGTAAAATATTATGATGAAGACCGGTGATTGACTTAGGGGGTCTTCGTATTTTTATTTAAAAGATATCTACCATTCAAGTTTCTTTTTTCTTGTTTTTTTGTATGCTTTTCAGATGAAAAGGGAGGCCCCTTAACCATAAAGTAATGATTACTAGCTAGTTTTGGGAGAGAAAAAAAAACCCTACTTCCTATCGATCGATCATCATATTAACCATTTTATTAGTTATAACTGAGAAAATGTACTTTATGAACACTCCAAAAGAAGAACTACTTTTGTTAAGAAAGGCGTGGATGATATCCCGTCATGCATTATCCAAGGCAAATTCTTTGTTAACCAAGAGCCCATTTTCCACTCCTTTCTTCACTTTTAATAAAATTAAATAAATCAATTAAATTAGCCAACAACCTACCGCGCCCTATCCATCTATAAATAGGTAGCCTACCTACCGCGCCCTATCCATCTATAAATAGTCTTGGTTTGTTTAATCTCGAACTACTCTTCCCTAGCTAGCTACTCACCTATTCTTCCTCCTCGTCTCATGTACGTAGTGCTTGTCAATGGCAAGTACTGGGCTTAAGAAATGGACGATAATATTGTTGTCTATTTTGTTGGCGCTATCAAACTGTCAACACCGAGCTTGTGGATCATCACCACAAGTGCCTTGTCTCTTCATCTTTGGAGATTCGTTGTTCGATAATGGGAACAATATGGCTCTTGTAACAGATGTGAAAGCCTCTTATTTACCTTACGGTGTAGACTTTCCTTATGGGTCTACAGGAAGGTGTAGCAATGGACTCAACTTAGCCGACGTGATTGGTCTGCAGCTTCCTCTCTTCTCTTATAATTACACAAAAAATCTTCGTTTGGTTTCTCTTACCAAAAACGAATTCTTTCTCTTTAGCTAGGAAAGTAGTTTTCTTGGATTAAATTATAAATTTTGTTTCAGTTTCATTTTTACCATTTTCTGCTCATTTTCACATCATTTGATCTTTAAAAATAAATACCCTATATAAATTACTTAACGATTTACTCAATATTAAAACACTTTGTGCCATAGATTGTCCAAACTTTTGTGTAAAATGTTAAAGACATGCAGTTCGAGTTTAATAATCTAAAAAATGTTATAATAGCAAGGGTTATGCTATGAATGAACAACTATATATATTTATATTTGGATTGAGTCATTGAGCTAATTTAGCAGAGCTTTTGTTTCAGCTGAACAATTAGGTTTCGAAAATTACATTCCACCCTTTGGGACGGGGAACTGCAGGGATTTTATGAATGGTGTAAATTATGCATCTTCTGGAGGTGGCATTCTTGACATGACAGGATCTCTTCTGGTGATTGCCAACACTCATATGCCTTTAAATTACGAATATATTAAAATCTTTCAGTATATTCCTTTTAGAACATGAAATAAAATCCAACATTTTCTAAAATTTATGAAGTAGTACCTGCTGGTTCCCATTTTTCTTAGGTTCGTTATCTTCTTGATGGCCATCCCGTTTTTCAGAGTTTATATGAGTTAAACAAACACTAAATTAATCGGTTTTTTTAATGATTGAGGATGGTTTTTCAAATTATTTTTTTTCGATCAAAATATATTTTTGTGAAAACATACGCCCTGCATTTCCCAATATAATAAAGCGAATCAACTTCTTTTAATAAAGATAATAAATATACACTACTTAACTAAATCCGTAAGAATATTTATATCTTAATTTGCAGCACTAACAATACGATTCTTTTGTATGGAAAGGGACAACGATACACCATGGATCTTCAGTTATTTAACCACAAGATTATAGCATCACGGATTGCCAAAGAACTGGGGGGTGCAGATGTTGCAAAGAAGTATCTTGGCCAATGCATATATGCTGTTGAAATGGGTTACAATGACTATCTCAACAACTATTATGGCGAAGGCTACAATAGCAGCAAGATCTACACTCCTGAACAATTTGCACAGCTTCTTGTTCAAACTTATGAAATTCAACTAGAGGTTAGTTCCTTGAAAAATCATTCCTCCAAAAAAGCTGATTTGTTAGGACTGTGTGTGTGTGTGTTCAAAACCAGATAAAAGTAGCGATAATCCTAAGTTATTTTATGAGATTTAAAACGTGATTTAATTTTGACTATAAAATCCTTTTTTTTTAATGATAGTGGCTATAAACTAACTTACTAATAGTGCCTCTTTCCATTCTTCTTCTTGACAATGTCAGAGCTTGTACAAGGAAGGAGCAAGAAAGATAGCCGTCTTTGGACTTATTCGGATAGGTTGTATGCCATCATATATCCAAATATTTGGCGCAGATGAATTTTCATGTGTAGAAAAACTCAACCATGCTGTTCAACTTTTCAACAACAAGCTTCAAAAAGTTATCGCAAAGCTTAATGCCAAACTTCCCGTAGCTAAATTTACTTACATAAACTCCTACGAAATTGATTCTGAAAATTATACAGATTTAGGTAATATTTGTATTCTTTCGAGGGGGTTAATGGTTTATCATCAAGACAGACGTCGCCATGGCCTTCTAATTTTACTTTTGCTTGATTTGCAGGTTTCAAAATCACCGACAAGGCCTGTTGTGACGTTCCTACTGGACAAATACCATGTGTAGCTCTTACTTGTCCATGCCTCAACAGTGATGAGCATGTGTACTGGGACGGAGCCCACTATACTGAAGCTAGAGCTAGGATCTTTGCGAAAAGGGCATATAAACGTCAATTTGCTGTTGATGCATATCCATATGATATCAGTGAATTAGCTAAGGTCTCAAATGATGGAGCCGATGGTTGCAGTACGATTGGCAGGAGCGAACCAGAAAATAAAATTAAGGATGATTAAAATATTATGATTAAGACTGGTAGTTGGCTGAGGGTAGGGCTACCAGGGCCCTTCGTACTTTTATTTAAAAGATATCTACCATTCAAGTGTCCTTTTTTTTTTTTGTATGCTTTTCGGAGAAGAGTGGTTGACAATGTTGTTAACGATCGTTGACAATGTTTCTATCATCTGTGATATCAGCACTATGTTCAAATGCTGCAATAAGTCAAATTCATACAATTTTCTGTTTACTTTTTTAATTATTATTATTTTGAAGTTATAATATACCAACAAAGCTGAAAGAGAGGATAAAAAAGGAAGGAGAATTGGATCATCTGAGGATAAAAAGGAAGGCCCCTTAACCATCAAGTAGTGATTACTAGTATTGAAAAAAAAAAAACATCCTACATTCTTCCTATCGATCATCATATTAACCATTTTATTGGTCAATAACCGAGAAAAAACTACTTCATCTAGTATGTTTCCAGTGGGGCCAATATGGTCATAAAAAGAAAGTGTGTCCGTATGCACATCGCCATTCATTGGCAAGGGGAGGGAATAATATGGATGCAGATGCTTATGTTATTGATTATAAAGTTCTAGAAAAAATAGAACCGTCAATCTTGATGTGTATATCATCGAATGATAAATTTGCCTTCTAAACATGAGAGGGGATTGGGTTTAATTATAACGCTATATAATAATAAAGTTTAGAGTTGTTCTCTAGTATTATTCATTTAAAAATCTAATAATTTGTGAGATTTTGAATAAAAAATTAGTCATGTAAGAGGAATATATATTACCTCTAATACATCCTATCTAAAATAAATTATATTTTTTGTTAATTATTTTAATTATTTTTTTAGATTATATTTTTATTTGTTGGTTTCATTTAAAATTCAAAGCAAATCTCTTTTCATAATTTTTTTTTTATTTTATTAAATTAAATCATAATAGTTTTAAAGTCTAAATTTAGCATCGTCTTTATTTCCTATTCTTAATATTCTAGATAACAAATTACTATAGGATTTTTTATTTCTCGGCACTAGACATTTCTTTAAACTTGATTAGTTAATAATATATGATTTATTTGTATCAATAATATATTTTAATAAATTTTAATCTTAGAGTTTTGTTTTAATATCAAAATTTATTTTGATCAAATTATTTTGATTTATTGATAATTAAAGTAAATAGTTTTTTCCTTTCTTCTTTTTAATTTCTTTCCGAGAAGTTCTTCTTGATCCAATAGAAATTTAACAACAATGGAATGATAGATGAATAAACCAATCTAAGTCCAACATGGCATGCTTCAATTCTTCCTTGCTTGTTCATTTTTTATTAGCAAGAAGCCTATGATTATTAGAAGGCGTTTGGCATTGAGGCTGCGGCTGAGGTACACACTCAACTGCAAATATTTAACGTTTAGTTAAGTTAAAAACTGAGTTTGGATTTGGAGGGACCCATTTAAATTGCGAGTGTGACCATGATTTAACAAAAGTAGAGTTCACATGCTTTTGAGTGGTTTAGCTGCTCAACTGTTCACGTGAACAGTTGAGAGGTGGAGAGGAAATTATATCAGAAGAAAAAAGATACACCTGCAGTTATTATTAGCTTAACTAATGATAAAGGAAAGAATTAGAAGTAGTATGGCTGTAGTATGAGCCGGAAGCAGCATGAATTAAGGGAAACAAAGCTTGCCTTTGCGTTATTATACTAGTTTTTTGCTTTAGAAGCCAGACTAATAAAGAAAAGCTCTTTCCTAATTGCTGCTATGCTTCTAACTATGAACGATTGTTAAGTCGGGGTTTTTGAGAAATAGGGAGGTGCAAACTTCGCAGTACAGGAGAAACTAGAGAGAGAGACATGCTTCTCTCCTGCTTCCTAAAACAACGTAATACTAAAGCAGAGTAAAGCAAACTCCAAGAATAGGACAACAAGGAGTCCTGTGAAGGTACTAAATTACAGAGGAGCCACTGTCACAGGCTGAATTAATACCATGAAAGAGCTCACTGGGAAGGTCTAATGGGCAACCAGCAAGGTTGGATTGTTCAGGGAATGCAGGGTTTGTTGCTAGTGGTGATGGATTCTGTTTGGGCAAACCCAAAAAGAGAAGAGGAAAGAGAGCGAGTAACAAGAGAAAAGTTTTAGGCACAATTCACTCTAAACACAAAAGTCGACAGTGCAGTAAACAGTGCAGAGTGAATTACTTCACTCTGCACCGTTGACGTGCATAGGTCAACAGTTAAAAAATTTAATTTTTTAATTATATTTTATTTAAAAAATTAGTGTTTAGACTATATAAATTAAATAAAAATCGTTTAATGATATAACATTTATAAAATTTACTCACAATTTTAATTTTATTCCTGATTATATTTACCTAATGTTATGGTATGCTTAAGAAACCAAAAAAATTACAGTCTTTGTTGGATATATTTCATATATGATGGAATCGTAAATATTTTAATGAAATAGTAAAAAAAATTATATAAAATATTATTTATTTTATGATGTAATAACAATAGTTAAATCTATAATATTTTTATTAAAAATCATTAATATTAATATATATTTTTTAAAATTATTTTATAACCTTAATTTTAAAAGCATTTTTAACCAAACACACTAAACTACTTTTTATCCATTTCAATTTCAACAGCAGTTTTAATTAAATATATATTTTTTTAAATTAATTTCAACTAAAAGTACTTTTTATAAAATAATTTTTTTTAAATCACAACCACAACAACAATCACAATACCAAACACATTTTCAAAGGCTAAAAAACTGGCTTGGAGGCTGAAAATAATTATGTGATGAAGTAACCTCGATAATTTATAACAAAAATAAATCAAGTAATGCTAGAAAAAATATTTCTTTTGATCAATCCAAACAAACAAAGACAATAAAGAATCCACAACTAGCCCTATGCTTCACCACAATTTGTATTAACAACTTCTGCATCACAATTTATAGAACCCAAAAACAACCGCCGCATATCTAAAAACAACTGAAGGGGAACCAAAAAATAGAATCCACGGACTGAATTCTGAAGCAACCAAGCAGCTAAAAAGACAAATATGAAGTAGAATTTCACACATCATTTAAAGAACTTTGTCAAAGAACCATCTCACCTATAGAATCCACGGACTAAATTCTGAAGCAACCAAGTAGCTGAAAAGACAAATATGAAGCAGAATTTCACACATCATTTAAAGAACTTTGTCAAAGTATCATCTCACCTAAAAGTTTAAACTGTCAGGTGAGGGCCTATGATATGATTTATATTATTTTCCAACACACTCCTTCAAGTGAAAGCCCTTTAAGCTTGAAACTTACACAAATCCACATTATCTTGTAGTAGAAACAATAATTGGAAACAACATAAACCAAATGTTCCCATCCAATTTTTTATCCATATTTTTTATAAAATTTCATAAAAATAAAAAAAAATCAGGAACCATCTCAACTCAATAGCTTAAGTTGTTAGGTGAGATCTTAGGATATGATTTATATTATTCTCTAACAAACCTGAAAACTAGAATGCTAGATAGATACAAGATAGTAACCAAGTCTAACAATAATGAGCAAATAGTAGAAGCAATAATTGGAAACAACATAAACCAAATGTTCCCATCCAATTTTTTATCCATATTTTTTATAAAATTTCATAAAAATAAAAAAAAACAACAAGAAAACAATGAAAACCCTAAAAAAATGCATTTTTGATATATATGTATTGTTTTTAGTATTTTCAGCATCATTCTAAAAAAAATTTAAATTTTCAAAGGTATTTGAAACACGTTTAACCTTTAACGCGTAAATTTTATGATCACTGATTTTTTTTATTGAATCAATGTTGATATTGATTGCTTTCAAAAATATAAAAAAAAATCAAAATTTATAAAAAAAAAGGAATAGAAAAGTTGAGGGACCAGTATGAAAACCTGGTAACACTTTTCCTATAAATACCATGCTACAATGAAAAATAAGAGGGGGGAATTTACTTATGGGGGGAGAGGGCTAGAGAAAAAAATGAAAAGAAAAAAAAGCATTATAATCACTGGTTTTTTTTATTGGATCAATATTGATATTGATTGTTTTTAAAAATATAAAATAAATTAAAAAAAATTAAAATTTATATAAAAAAAAAGTTGAGAGACCCGTATGAAAACCTAGTAATATTTTTTCTATAAATACCATGTTTCACTAAAGGGGTGGGGAATTTACTTACGGGGGGAGAGGGCCAGAGAAAGAAATGAAAAGAAAAAAAGAGCCACCCTAAAAAACCCATCCCTCACCACGCAGTCGCAGCCCCAGCCCCAGCCCCCATTAAAAAAAAAGTTAAGGGAAACCGTAGCCTTGAGGGTTTGAATTAGTAGCTTCTTCTCCTAAAAGCTTATTCTCCCAAAAGCTAGCAATCCCTCTTGAGATTTTCCCTCTTATATGTAAAGCCATTTAATTAGGTGGCATAATTGATGGGATTTGAGTGGGAGATGAGTTGTAATTGGTGGAGTATGAGTGGAGGATGAGTTGTTAGGCATATATTCCTCCTAAATTTATGACCATTATACCCTCACTCTTGCCTATAAATAGGCAATGCATTCAAGCCTATATGCACACCAAAATAGAGAGAAGAAGAAGAGAGTGAAGAGAGAGTAATCCCACAAAATTGTGAGGTATTTGTGATAGAGTAAGTGAGGTGTTTTCTCCTAATAATAGAGAGATTCTTAATTTTTCTCCTATTATTCGAGAGAGGTTGTAATTCTCATATTACTTAGTAAAATCCTTCTATACTTGTCTGTGGACGTAGCCCAATTGGGTGAACCACGTAAATTCTTGTGTGTTCCATTTCTCATTTTATCCGGTCTCTTATCTTTTATCTTGTCGGGTTTGCATGCCAGCATCCTAACAG